GACAAAGCTTAAAAAAAAAAAAAAAAAAAGTTTGCAGGACCAGCAGTTGGTATAATGGCTATGTCACTGGACTCCCACGTAGTTGACTGAGGCTTGAGTCCCGGACCCGGTGGCTTAAACTCACGCCAGGTGCGTGTGCGTGCGTGCCCAAGATCCCAAGAGGAGGATGGTGGAGAAGGGATTGTGGCATGGCCATCCCCCCCGGGGGGTTGATTTCTCGCTTTCTGTCTCTCTGTCTCTCTCTCTGTCTTTCTGGCGAGCATCGCGCCCTCTAGCAAAAACCTCTCAGAAAAAAAAAAAAAGTTTGCAAACATGCACTTGAACATGTAGCCAGGTATCCTCCACGAGTGATGACTTCAGCCCTAAATTGGGGGAGGGGGCAAGTTGTGGAAGTCACACACAAGATCTGACACACACGCACACGCGCACACACACACATCAGCCAAGCCCATCCCAAGGGAACTGCTGCAAAGCTCTCATATCCTGCTCAGAATTCAGGTCCAGATTCCCCTGGAGTCTCTGGGGGGCTCCTGCTTCCTGCCACCCCCTCCTCGTCCCAGAGCAGGAACCCCTGAGCTTGAAATGGTCAGCAGGCTTCCCCGAGCTAGGAGTCAGCAAGTCGGGACATGTTCCTGGGGCCCAGGGCCCAGCTGGGACACAGCCTGCTGCCCGGGCATGTCTCCTGGAAGGAGGCAGCTTAGAGGCGGAGGGAGGCTCAGCCCAGAGGACAGACCGGAGGATCCAGACCAGCTCCCGCCCCCCACCGAGAGCCAGGTCAGGTGGGGTGGGAGGAATGGCAGAAGGGACAAGTGACAAACCCAAGGCAAGGAGGACATGAGGAGGGCTCGGTGGTGTTGCAGGGCTGCCTGAGAAAGGAGAGGAAGTGCCGGGAACAGAGTCACCGTTTCTCAGAAAAGGACCGGTGAGTTCCACGCAAGGCAGCGCGCTTTCAAAGGAATTCACCTCCACAGGGGTTCCCAAGAAGTGAGACCCCAGAGAAGAGGCGGAACAGAAATTTTACTGCACTGAGCCTCGTGTTCACTGTATTCCAGCTTGTCTTTTTGGAAGAAGAAAAATAATAAGATTGGGAGCCCCGGGAGGCTTCCCTACCCAGCCAGACAGGATCAGGACTAACCGTATAGTAAGGGAGAGATACTTGTAATAGGATTTGTGCCACACGGACACTTCCAGGCTTCTAAGTCTACCACCTAAATCTGGCAAGTCACCATTAGACATTCATTTCTTGGGGCCAACAGGTGGTCTCTCACATGGTCCAGTTCGAGTCCCGGATCCCCGTGGCTTGAAACACACACCAGGCTCGTGTGTGTGCGTGTCCAAAATCCCAAGAGAACGGAGGAGAAGCGATTGCAGCCTGGCCATGCCCCCTGGGTGGTGATTTCTCACTTTACCTCTCTCCGTCTTTCTCTGTCTCTGGTGAGCACATGTGCCCTATGGGAAAAAAATAAAAATAAAAAATGAGGGGAAAAAAATGGATTTTTCTGGCATGAAGTTCTGATCTCCACTAAATGAGATCATATAGGCAAAGTGCCTAGCCAGGCACATAGAAATCACTCCTTAAATAGTGAGTCGTCAGAAAAGTCATGATGCGTTTTTGCATAGGAAAAATACATCGTGACTTTTCCAGCGACCCAATGGTATTGTTATTGCTGTGCGCTGGTGTGCCACCGACTAGCCCTAGTTCTTAAACACAGGTGACATCTTGGTTGCCCTCCACTTCTATGTTGTATGGTAAGCGAGTTCCCTCCCTGCAGCTGGCTGTTCTTTAAACTGATTCAGGCGCTCGGGGCAAACACGCACCAAGCCCAGGTGTAGCCCCTTTGAAAGCCTTTTAGAAGCCCTGGCTGGCTTCGGGGCAGGGGCTGTGCGGGAGTGGAAGACAGTGGCGAGTTCACCTCTCAGAACCCCCTGTGCGGTGCTTTATTGCAGTGGTCTTGTTCTCATTTTCGGTCACCAATCCCACACTCAAACACTGTACAGATAGGCCCCTCTTATAGTCTGGTAACCATTCACACTGTCTTAGGTAGGTTTCCCAGAAAACATGCAGCAGTGGAGGCTTGCTTGAAGCAGTTTTTGTTGTTGTTTTTTTGCTTTTTAATATTTATTTGTTATTATTTATCTTTTCATTTGACCAGAGGACAACAGAGAGCGAGAAAGTGAGAAAGCAAGCCGCCAGGTCCGGGACCCAAACCACGGTCAGCCATGTGGGAGTCCCGCACCCCAACCACCGCGCCACCTGCTGGCTCCTTGAAGGAGTTTCATTGGGAGCGCGGTTATATCCAACACTAGTCTGGGTCCAGAGGAAGCAGATTGGGCAGGGGGAGGAGCTGGTCTGTGCTGGAGCTGGCGGTCCTAGTGGGACCTCAGCTGATGGCAGGGGGCGCTCTGCAGCTGGCTGGTCCTGCAGCCTCAGTTCCCTGAACTAAAGCAGGGGGCTGGGTCTTTATGCTCCTGCTTCCATGGCCTTGGCCTTCGGATGTGGCTGGCCCTCATGTGGTGTAGGGGGTGCCATTCCTAAAGGACCCTCGAGCATCATTAGTCAATGCTTCTGGCAGCCACTGGGGAGAATGAGTGCCTGGGTCCCGCAGGGGGCCTGGGGAGCACGACCGGTGTGGATAAATTGATCAGATCGTTTAGAGACTAGCAAGGAAGTGCAGTGAACACGGCCTACCTGAGGAGCGAGGGGCTCTTTGTGCCTTTGCTCATATGTCCCCTCATCCTGGACTGAGTGCTCCTGATCAGCTTACCCTACCACACTCCATTCTCCACTGCTGGACTCCTACTGATCCTTCATGACCCAACCTACATGGCCTCTTGGGATGAGGCCTTCGCAGAGTCCCCCACCACACCCCCAAACTCCTAGTGAGCAATCCTCTCCACTGGGGTTTGAGCAACTGAATCCTCTGAGCTGGGACCCTGGAGGCAGTGAGCCCATATTTTATTCATCTTTGTACCTTCGGGGCTGGAACGTGGTGAATATTTATTTTGAAAGGCCATTTTGGGCCTGCACTGTGAGGTTAGGCCTCAGTGTGGCTGCTCCTGAGTCCTCTCTTATTTGTTCATCTATCCATTCATTACAAAATAAATACAGTCGACACTCACTACTCAAATCCCAAACTAGAATATGACAAACCACTGACACTTTCCTGGGTGTTCCACCTCTTCCCCAAAGTAAAAAACTATCTTGAGTTTTCTATTTAACTTTCCTATGTTTTAAATTCTTTCATCACCTGTGCCCAAGACAGTGCTGCTTACCATTCTCCTAGGTGCTGGCCTACACTTCCCAGCCCCACCCTCGGCAGGCTACACAGGGTCATGTGACTAGTTTTAGCCAATAAAGTGTGAGCATAAGTGACTTTGTCTCTTCAGTGATCAAGCCAGGTGAAATCCTCTACCCTCTCTGTCCCACACAGCAGGGGCAGAATTGAGGTCCCATGACCCAGACAGTGCCACTACAATATGGGTCATCCGCCTGGATCTCTGAGTGACTACGTGGAGCAAAGTGCCCCATCAATGTGTGTGAGCTGTGCATGTATAAAAGAGAGATAATCAGGTGGCATGGTAGTTAAGGCACTGATCTCCCACATGGCTGACCATGGTTCAAGTCCCAGACCTGGTGCTTGAGGATCACACCTGGAGCATGTGCACGCATGCCCAAAATCCCAAAAGGAACAGGGAGGAAAAGGAATTGTGCCATGGCCATCACTCCAGGGGGTGATTTCTCACTTTCCCTCTCACTGTCTCTCTGTGACAAGCGCATGTGCTCTATGGCAAAACCCTTAAAAAAAAAAAAAAAAAAAAAAGTCATGGCCCTACATTACAAGATTAGCAAACAAAGTATTTATATTTTAAAAGAGAGAGAGAGAGGGAGGGAGAGAAAGAAATAATCATTTGTTGAGTGAAATCACTGAACATGATACTAAAGCATTACCTAACAAGGGCCTATCCATGTAGCTGTGGCTGGTTGTGATTTATGGGAGCTTCCACCACCCAGTGAGGTACACTTCCGAGTATTCACACTCTAGATGCAGCCCTCTGAGTACGTCTAACTTAGGACTCTTTTAGCCAATAGAATGGGACAGAAATAACTCAGGCCTGGGACAGGCTGAGTCTTAAAAAAGTCCAGCAACTTCTGCATTTGTTTTCTTAGGGATTTTGAGCCACTGGGCATGGAGTTTGATTGAGAAGTCAGATGGAGAAGTCATATCAAGAATAATTGAAGCCCCACCCCGCCCAGTTCCAGCCAATTTCTCGGCCAGCATCATCTCACCAGCCATGTGAGGACCATCTTAGAGGCTGGTGTTCTAGCCCAGTCTAGCCTCCCAGCTGGTGTCACATGGAGGACAGACAAGCCATCCCAGGGAGCCCCTGCTTACAGGATGGAATCTGGGCGAGTGAGGGAGTGCATTGCTGCTGTTCTAGCATGGTTTGTTAGGCAGCAGCAATACATAATTTTCAAAAGTTCAACAATTTGCAGTTGTTAAAATATCTAATTATCCCTTCTCCTGTCAATGGGCATTTGGCTTATTTCTAATTTCTCATTATTATACACGGGGCTGCTATAGCTTCTTCTTACCCATGGCTCTGGGCCACACGTGCAACGAATTTCTCTTGGCTATAGCTTTAGGAGTCAAAGTCTCCCGTATCTTCTTGTCAGGAGAAACAGGGTTTGAGGAGCACCCATACCAGGCATGTGGGCCTTGGGTATCTGTCTCTTTCAAGACCCTTGGAACAGTCTAAAGCGCTGAACACATGGTGGGAGTTATCATTACTTGCATTTTTGTGGAGGAACAAAAGAGAACTCAAAGGAATGAAGCCCTAATGGTGGAATTACAGTTACTGTGACAGCTGAGAACAGACATTTGGTCACAAGAGCAGCTGCCCTGCAGACTCTGAGCTCTGTCTGTGACTCACCTTCAAGGCCCCAAGACACCACTCCCCCAGGCTCTTTAGTTCAGAATAGTCTTCTGAATGAACCCCAAAGACTGGGAATTATGCATTCTTTACGTTTTTCTTTCTTTACAAATTCTTCTTAAGCCCCACCCTCCCCATACATCAAAGTGCTGAAGGCCTTGGGTGGAGAGCCTCTGCTTGCATGGCAGTGCAGAGTCTGAGTGATGTCAGGATGTCAGATCCGTCACCTCACCCTCACCGTCTGCACCCTCCTCCTCTCCCACACAGCACAGGTGTTTCAGACTCATACACACAGGGAAATAGAGGCTCCCGGAGACGCCAGAACTGGCTGAAAGGACACCGGCAGGGAGTCAGGGCAGATCCAGGGCTCTGGTTGTGTCCCCACCTCCTCTGCTCCCCCTCCTACCCCCAGTCAGTCACTTGTCATCATCTCTGCTTACCTAGGGTCAGCTGCTCGGAGATTCACTCAGAACGCTCTGAGTGTCACCCGTGATTGTAATGCCACCAGAGCCATCGTGGAATGCAACAGCTGCAAACCCCAAGCCCCAAATGCTACTGGCACCTCTGAGGCCAAGCTCAGAGCCAGGGAGGAGATGGTACTCCCCCTCCCTGTCTCCAGTGTTTCCTAATAACTCTGCACCTGGTGAGAGAAATCATCCTGACATCTCCGGGGTACATCCTGGTAGCTCAGGACTGACCTAAGGGAGAAAAGCAGGGATATGTGTCGTGCGATAGCAGTCACGGTAACAAATAAGTTCTCACATTTCAGTGACAACTAGTGAGAAGTTACTTCTCACCCACATATGAACCCAACAGGTGTGTCCTGGCTGGCAGGTGGCTCACCTCCACGTGGTGACTCAGGCACTCAGGCTCTTTCTCTTTTCAAATTGCATTACTTATTTCTTCCACGAAGGAGGGAGAGAGAAAGAGAAGCTGGCACCCTCTTTTCACACCACAATCTTTACGCCACAACCTACTGCCAGCCTCGCCCAGCCTGGATCACGGGCAGACGCGTGCGCCTGGGAAGTGAAGGGAGGCCTCATGAGAAAACCGAAGACCTTCCCACGTGGGTCCCGGATCACAGAGTTGCATTACCACCTCGCCCCTGACCAGCCCCGACTCAGGCTCTTTCTACCTTGGGGGTCCACTCTCTGCTCCGGCCCCTAGGTCGCTGCTTGCCCTGGAGACAGGAGAAAGGGTGTGAGAAGGCATGTGCATCTCCTCATGGCTCCCCCTGAGGTGACACGCGCTATCTTCCACCCACATCCATTGGTGAGAACCAGTCATCTATCCACCTAGAGGCCTGGTTCACCAGTTCCCTGGATGGGGACCCAGATTTGTGAGGCCCCCCCAGCCAGCTCCCCACAGTGAGGAGCCAGGGAGATGGGACCCCTTCCTCTCCTGTGTCCTCCAAGACAGCCTGTTCCTGATGAGTCTCTGGACATGGCTCTGGAGGAACAGGGCCATCTCCACACGTGTGACCGAGGGCCTCAGTACATGCATCTACCAAGTGGGTCCTTTCCTATCTCCGCCCTGACAGCCTCCCTGAGAAGGTGAGGTAGACGTGAGTCTCTTCTGTTTTCCTCAAGGAGGAAACCAGGACACAAAGAGACAGTGTAACGCGTCTAGAGCCACGCAGCAGGACCCAGTTTCCTCTTTCTGGTACACAGCTTCCCCCCAGTCCCCCAAACCAGTCCACTTCAAAGTATGGGAAGTCACTGAACTTCAATGCAGGAAGATCCCTTACTCAGCAAATCCTCGGGGGGGGGGGGGGGGCGCAAGGACGACGAGAAAAAAAATACCTATAGGGCGCATGAGCTCGCCAGACAGAGAGAGAGAGACAGAGAGACAGAAAGCGAGAAATCACCCCCTGGGGGGATGGTCATGCCGCAATCCCTTCTCCTCCATTCTCCTCTCGGGATCTTGCGAACGCACGCACAGGCGCCCGGTGTGAGTTTAAGCCACCGGGTCCAGGACGGGAACCACGGTCGACTACATGGGAGTCCAGCGACATAGCCATTACGCTAACTGCTGGTCCCGAAAAGTCCTTTTATTACAGGAAAGGTGGGTACCGAGACCTGACAGTTTCTTGACTGGTGTGTGGGACTAGACCTGGCCCTGGCTGGGGTGGGAGCCTTGCCTTGCAGTGGCAAGACCTGAGGGAAGTCCCAAGTCTCCTTTCTCACCTTGCAGATGCTAAAATCGCTCCATTGCAGCCTCCCCCTCCACCCAGTGGTTCTCAGTGAGTCCCTCATTTTCTCAGGGACATTGGAGGAGCGTGGATAGGAAAGGACCCGTTTGGTAAATGCATACTCTGAGGCCCTAGGTCACGCAGTGCAGCTACATGGGAATGGGGAAGGCAGAAATACTCGGGTCCTGGATGCACGTGGAGTCGCTTTGGGAGGAGACACAGGAGGTGATGACCGTGGTGTCTCTGGGGACAGAAGTGGCCCGCAGTGTTGCCCACCTTCAGGGCACTGTCAGCACCGTCCGCGTCTGAGCCATGCACAGCCTGCCTCATTTCTCACCACGTGTATTTCAAACAGATCATACCTTTCAGATGGTAACAGAATTTTAACATATATTCTAAGGCACAGGTGGCGTGCTAGTTAAGGTACTGGACTCCAACATGGTCAAACACGGCTCAAACCCTGGAACTGGAGGCTTGGCCATCATGCTGGATGTATGTGTGTGCATGCCCAAAATTCTAAATAATTCTTCTTCTTCTTTTTAAGAATTAATTTATTTAAATTTATTTATTTATTTTAATTTTTTTGACCAGATATGGAAAGTGAGGAAGCAAGCTGCCAGGTCTGTGACTCGAACCACAGTCGGCCATGGAGGAGTCTAGCGCCCTTAACCACCATGCTACCTGCTGGCCTATGCCCAAAATTCTGAAAGAATGGAGAAGGGACCACAGTATGGCCATCCCCTGGATGGTGGCAGGGGTGCTTTCTGAAGTTCCCTGCCTCTTTCTCTCTTAATAAGTATATATTCCTTATGGCAAAAACAATTATTATATATATAACATTTTCTTAATCTGGCCCTTTCAGAATCTACTACATTAAAATTGGATGAGGACAAGCCAAGTATGGTGGTTTTCCTGAAGTCCAGGCTACTTGGAAGACTGAGGCAGGAGAATTGCAAGTTCGTGTCTAGCCTGGGCAACATAGTGAGACGCCATCTCTAAAAAGAGGGGCCAACAGGGGTGTAATGGTTAAGGTGCTGGACTCCCACGTGGCCAACCACAGTTCAAGTCCCGAACCCAGTGGCTTGAAACTCACAGCAGGTACATGTGTGTACATTTCCAAAATCCCAAGAGGAGAATGAAGGAGAAGGGATTGCAGCATGGCCATTCCCCCTGGAGGGTGACTTCTTACTTTCTGTCTCTGCCTCTCTGGTGAGCACACATGCCCTATAGTTTAAAAAACAACAACAACAACAACAAAAACCCTCTCTTTAAATAATAAACAAATCAAAGAAAAAAATTTTTTAAAGAAAAAAAATTTTAAAGGCCAGCAAGTGGCGTGACACAGTGAGTGGTTAAGGCACTGGACTCCATGTGGCTAATCGCGATTCAAGTCCCAGACCGAGTGGCTTGAAATTCACTCCGGGTGTGTGTGTGCAGGTGTGCCCAAAATCCCGAGAGGAGAATGAAGAAGGAATTGTGGTGTGGTCACCTCCCTGGGAGGTGGTTTCTCGCTTTTTCTCTCTGTCTCTGTTTCTCTAATGGGTACATATGCCCTATAGTAAAACAAACAAACAAACAAAACAGGTCTTAAAAAAAAATAAAAGCTCTTTTAAAAAAAAGTGAGATAGCTGCACGAGTGTACAGGTATTTTGGAAAATCTCCCTCCACCCATCCCCAAGGTTTAAGAAGCTGATTCAGTCTAAGCACAGGCCTCCTCTCTGTGTGTCCTGGTCTCCTCCTTGGGAACCAAAGAGAATCACACCTACCTTAGCTTTTTCCAAATTCTCAGGGGAGTTATAAGACCACACATATGAAAGTAGCTACTTTATAGCTGCAGATATTAAAGCCCAAGGTCACGCAGTAGTGCAGACACGCAGCCATGACACTGTTCCCCCCCCTCCCGAGGGCAACTGTGCTCCCCAGAGAGACAGAGACACAGAGAGAGACAGACACACTTCTCACGTGGAAAGGCCGCACCACAATCCCTTTTCCTCCATTTCTCCTTCCTCTCAGGATTTTGGGCACACACACACTCACAGTGTGTTTTCAAGCCAGCAGGTCCAGGACTTGAACTGCACAGTTGACCACGTGAGATCCAGCTCCTTAACCACCATACCACGGACTGACCTGGTCACTGTTGTTCTTGAGGCCATGTCCAGAGACTCAGCGGTGAAAGACCCTCTTGCAGGAAAACAGAGGAGAAACCTCTAGAAGCTGTCAGCAGACCCTGCCACCTCAGAGAGATGAGAGACCTGGGAACAGAGACTGTCACTAGGAATGTGGGAAAGGAAGAGGGGATGGGGTTTGGGGTGGAGAGGCTCAAGATTGCATGGGCAGGAGGCCAGCTTTGCCTCCTGGGCAGTCAGGCCCCCTCACCCCTGCAGCCCTGAAACCCTCCCCACACCCCTGCAACTCGGCACCTCTGGCCAGCAAGCTGGGCGGCCTTGCCCGGGCTTGCCGTCTGTTGCATCATCATGTGGCCAGACCGGCTGCCAGAGGAGTGAGCCACCCACTCACCACTGGAAACAATCAGCTAATTATATCACCCGGAGACCCAGGCCAGGGGCATGTGGTCATTTTCAGCTGGCTTAGCCTGTTTCTACTTGTCTCGCCTGATTGTACTTGATTTTCCATAATAATAATAATAATAATAATAACACCAACAACTACCAACCAAGGGGGGAAGTCTCCCAAGGTTGTAGAGCGTGCTACCAGAGCAAGAGCTTCCGTCCAGCTGCTCCTCCAGGAGTGGCCTATGCAGCCTCTGGCTTAGGAACCCAAAATAAGACTCTTAACTCCCAGATATGACTCTACAGACAAGCAGCTCTGAGTAAACACACTGAGATCAGCAGAATCAGAAATACAAATATTGCTTTAACAGCCTTGCAGTCATTTATTTTTTCAAAAAGCTTTGAAATTCAATTTGTTGTATCGAAAAAAGTACAGAGACTTTTGTTTGTTCATAATTTCCTGTATTTATTTTTTTGATTAGATAATATATTCCCATGATTGACCATCAAAAGATGCTAAAGGATATGCAATGAAAATGCTCCCCTCTACCCCAGCCCTGCCGCCACCCGTCTCCTTCCCAGGGCCTTTGGCTGGTTGCCTGAGTATCCATCCAAAGACAGCCAGGGCCCCAGGCCTTCAGATAAAACCTTGCAGACAGATGAGTTGCAGAATCCAGACTTTTCAGGTTTGAGACAGGTGGTGTGTATTCCCCCAGAGAGCTCTGTCTAGAGGGTCCAGTCATCCCGGTTTGCCCCAGATTGTCCCAGTTGTAGCATGACAAGTTTCATATCCAGGGATGCCCTCAACCCCGGGCAATCTAGAACGATGGGTCACTCTAGATCTGAGAATAATGGATTCACACTAACAGGGGTCGCATCCTCTCAGCACTGGTTTTCCTACCAAATAAAAGGACTACGGTCTAAAGAGAAGAACTTCGGTTTTCAGAGCTGTTTGGATGTTGGAGTTGAGGATGAGGGACTGTGGTCCTAGAAGTGTGTATATGTGTGTATATACATCTATATACATATAAAATATATTCTTATATACACACACAGAGTCAGACAGACACATACATATATATAAATGTGTGTATATATGACTAAACCAGGCTTGGTTTTTTTTCCCCTCACTTTAGCTTAGAGCTGTTGCACATGCTACACAGAAAGCCTCCCCCTTCCTTTCCCCAGCTGCGAAGCACTTTATCACTGGATGCCCTTTAGGGCATCTCTGGCCTTTAATTATTACACATGCGCATAGCTTTAGCTGTAGCTCCCTACAGGTCGGGAGCAGAGGAGGAACCAGGTATTCATTCCTAACGCTTCTTTGTGACCGAAAGCTTAAGTCTGAGCCTGCTCAGGATGTGGGGGAGACAAGAAGACCTGCTGAGGTCCCCCTGTCCCCTCTATCTACTTACAGCACTAAAAGTCATTCACATTAAGAATGATCTGGGACCAAAAATAAATAAATAAATAAAAATTAAAAAAAAAAAAGAGTTTAAAAGGGACCAGCAGTTAGCGTAAT